AAGAAGGATTGTCCTAAAAAGCAGGAACCAAGCACTTGCATACCTTGCAAGATGATGGGAAAATCCTGTAAAAAGGGTCAGACTGCCAGACGCACAAAATGCTGCTGGACAGGATGATACAAAAGACTGATTATGGCCAGTAATCTCCCTTCGGAGATGATGGCCATAAGGGAAGAAGAAGGGGGAACAACCAAGAAAACGCCTTCCAAAAGCCTAAGGGACAGACTCAGAATACTATCATTCGAAAGAAAGAAAAAAGAGAGCGAACCCAGAAAAATAGAGGAACAAATAACAAATACGAGAACCATATACGATAACATAGGAATAAATATGCAACTCTCCAGACTGGAAGTGGCAAAAGTGCTCACAACTGCCCTGGGGCACCTAGTGAGAAATAAACACATCAAAGGTAACAAAATCACCTTCCTGGTTCCGGGAGCGGTGGATCGAATTCAGCTAAAATGTCACAACATTCCTACAGATATCACTGAACTAGAAAAACTCCTCAAGCAGGTGTTTGACAGAAGAAAAGAGGTCTTTTACCTTGAAGAGCTATACAGAGACTTTGCACAAACCCATGGAAGAGTAGCATTTGATCACACAAAGCCCTGGCCAGAGTGCCACATACACCTAAGATCTCCGTAGCGATCCGAATCGGACAGATCAACTGCATGCGCAGTGCAGCAGTTGGTCATGAGATAAGGAAGGTTGCGGAAGAAATGAGGTTAGACATGCTATGCATACAAGAACCCTACACAAAGAAAGGGAAAATGATCAACATGCCAATAACAGCACAAATACAAAGTATTAGGCAAAATCCAATGGCGGTAACTGTATTGTTCAACAAGAATCATAGACTGTTTCTGCTGAAACAGTTCAGTGATGAGCACTGCGTCTGTACGGAACTGCAAACAAATATCGGCAAATTCATCATTGCGAACATATATTGCCAATTCAATGAGGGCATAGACGAATATATTAATAAAATGCGTAATATTTTTCAAGCATATAATAACAGCGGATGCCAATGCAAAATCGGTATTGTGGCACTCAGGAACAACAGACGCCAAAGGCGAAGAATTAGAAAACCTGATAAATGAACTTCAACTTGAAGTCCATAACAAAGCAGGTAATCCGCCGACCTTCCAGAACAGAGCCGGTGCTGCGATCAACATAGATATCACGATATCAAATGTTAAGGCAGCAAACCGGATCGTGGAATGGAGGGTTGGAGATAACGTGACAGTGAGTGACCACAATCTGGTAAGCTTTGAAATCCAAAAGGAAGAGGCAAATAATATGGGACCATTGATAAAACGATATGACATGAGCAGAGCAAATTGGGAAACTCTAGTGGCTGAGTTCGAGCCGCCGAGACTGGAGGGAAAGGAAGGAGATGTGAATGAATATTCAAAGAGAATAACTCATGAAATGAAGAGAGTAATGGATCGTGCCATCCCCCAAACTCATTCTGCCAAATATCCAAGAAATGATGATTGGAATGAAGAGCTAACAAGGAGAAGAACCCTAGTCAGGAATGCGAGAAGACGATACCAGAGATGCGGAGTACACCGAGAACGTCAAAGACTCCTACGAACATATAGAGAATTGAGAACAAATTATCTCGCACAGATAAAAGAAGTGAAAGCAAAGAGCTGGGAGAGGTTTATACAAACCCACCTAGAAATGGACATATGGGGAATGCCTTACAAGATCGTAACAAAAAAGGTCAGATGTCCTACCATGCTCTCCTCTCTTGAGAGAGAAGACGGGTCTATGACCAGGACATGGAAGGGATCGGCCGAGCTCCTGATAAAAACATTACTATCCTCAGATGAGCACGAGGGAGAAACACCAGAACAAATAGAAGCAAGAAGGGCAATGGTAGAACAATACCATGAGCCACCAGAGACGATCTTGAATCCATTCACTGAAGACGAAATATCAGAATGCTTGAATAAAATAAAAAAAAAGAAGGCTCCAGGGCCAGATAGCATACCAGTGGAAGTGCTAGTAGCACTGAGGCAGAAACTAATCCCAGCTCTAGGGAGATTATATAACGAATGTTTGAGACAGGGAAAAATACAAAACATTTTCAAACAAGCAGATGTCATCATTCTAAGTAAGGAAGAGGAAAAAGATCCAATAAAACCAAAATCATGGAGGCCGATATGTTTATTAAACTCTATGGGTAAGCTACAAGAGAATTACTATGCAAAAGGCTAGGTGAGCATAGAGAGACAATTGGAGTCCACCCAGACCAATATGGCTATAGACCGGGAAAATCGACGGAAGACGCGATTAATAAGGCAATAGAAACGATTGACAGTAGCGGCAAAAAATATGTGATTGCAATTTACATAGATATATCAGGGGCTTTTGATAATCTCTGGTGGCCCGCATTCTTCGAAAGACTTCGAGAAATGCGATGCCCGGAGAAATTGTATAAAAGTTTCAGAAGCTACTGTCAAGACAGATATGCAAGTCTGAGCTGTCCAATAGGCAAAAAAACGAAACGTCTCACGAAGGGATGTCCTCAAGGTTCTGTGTGCGGCCCAGTTTTCTGGGATATAATGCTCGAAGAACTCCTTGTCCGTCTGTTCGAAGCTGAAGATGCACTAGGCACGGTTGCGTATGCTGATGATCAATTAATAATAGTAGATGGAGACAGTAGAAGAGAGATAGAAACAAAATGCAACAATATTCTCGAGATCGTGAACAGGTGGTGTGGTGAAGTCAAACTAAAGGTATCGATCGAAAAAACTACCTATAATATAGTGAAAGGACAACTGAACAGAGATCCACAGGTTCGGATCGATGGTCAGTTAGTCCGAAGAAAGCAAAAAGTCCGATATCTAGGAATAATAATGGATGAATCTAGAATGTTTGCTCACCACTTCACAGACGTCTGCAGTAGAGCAGTCAGCAATGCACAGAATAACGAGCCTAGTGCAGAAAGAAGTGAGAATACCTTTTAGACAGGTGAGAGTCTACTTAAGTGTGGTATTGGCATCGATAACTGGATACAGTGCAAGCGTGTGGGTACATAGGCTGCAAAACATCAAAAACAAAGAGAAAGTGGATAGAACGCAACGAGGGTTCCTTGTCAGAATGACAGGAGCCTTCAGCACAACTGCAACGCTGGCCCTGACAACACTGGTAAGGGTCATGCCGATGCAACTAGAACTGAAGAAGAGAGCAGCCATGTACTGGATCAGGCGTGCAGACTACGCAAAAGCACAGACTGTGATGGGTACACAAACAAGAACAAAAAAGCAAGTAAACAGGCAAATAGCGAGGGAGTGCCAGGAAATGTGGGACCAATCAGAAAAAGCAAGAAGAGTCCACGAAATTCTTCCGATACTAGAAGAAATACCAGAGTATTTCAATCCGACTCCCGGATTGGTACACCTAATAACAGGGCATGGGCCATACCCGAGCTACCTGAATAGATTCAACATGAAAGAAGGAAGTCTGTGTGGATGCGGAGAAGAAGGCACGCCTGAGCACGTTGTTCTGGACTGTTTGATGTACAATGACCAGGACAACCTGAGAAGAGGACTGCGAGGGTTGAACCTCAAACAGATTGTAGAAGATGAAGGAAAATATAACAAGTTGAATAAACTAGCCCAGAAGGTCTCCCAGCACCAACAGGAGATCTTCAACGCTACAAGACGATAAGACCAAATCAAGACAACACTGACGACTGAAAACAAGATTACGAGAAAAGAAGAAGGAAGAAATGAGACCACGGACTGGGTGGAAAAGTTCCGGAGCAAGGGCCAAAGGCTCGCCGAACTGCCACCCAAAAAAGTAGTGCACATGTCTGCCAACCTGCAATAGTAGGATAGCAGGCAAGTAGGTAGAATAGTATTATGTGCATGTAGATTGTAATAAATGCATGTATTATGCAGCATGTAATGCATGATAAAGTAGGATAGTAATAGTTGTAATAATTGCATGACGCAATGCAGAAATGCATGCAGTAATAGATGTAGTAGTAGTAGTTAGACAAATACTAACATAGGCTTAGTCGAGGTGTTGGGGATTGTAAAATGACAAAAAATAGCATGGAACATAAATAATCCAACACCTAGTAGATTAGGGCTTTCACTAACACAATAATTATAGGGCAAACGAATAAATTATGAGAAGAATTGAGAAAAAAACAAAAAGAAAAGTTGAAAATAGGATCTGTTTTTAAATCATCGAGATAACAGATTATTAAGATTAGAGTAAATGAAGAAGAAAAAAAAATGTCCACGTTAATTTGCAGAATCTTAATGCCTTCGAATTCGGTTTATGCTGATCCTTGAGGCCCCTCTGCAGCCCCTCCACTAATTGCCATTTCTCTCTTGTTGGGTTCTCCTAAGGACCAGTTTGGACCCTGCTTGCTGTCCCTGCTGTTATTCTCTCCCTGACTCGCAGAGAGAGTGCTCTGCCTTCCCAGAACCTTGCCATTTCTCTTGGTCGTTGTGGGCGCATCCTTGTCTGCTAGAGCTCCCATGGATGCATTTCTCCGTCTGGCTCCTGACCTAGCTTTCTTGAGTGCCTCTTTAAAAGCCGGGCACCTCGCTGTGCCAGTTTTATGTCCCTTTTACATGCAAATCGGGCAGAATTCCTGATTTTGGCATTCCTTAGGCCTGTGGTCAGATTCCCCGCACCTGTAGCATCCATTTGTTCTGTCCGGCCCGTCACATTGTTCTCTCTTGTGGGCATGGCTCCAGAATTCCCACTTCGACGTTTTTTTCTATTTTACATCGCACCAGCCCTATTCTGAGTACTTCTTTCCTCAGAAGTGTTTTAGCGTTGTTCCTTGCCAGCGTGACCGTAACTGCTGTGGTGTCGTTCTGGAAGCTTCTGAGTTCGCTAATCCTGCACTCGGTGGACCAGGTGCCTATAACCTGTGTGAAAGCTCCAGTTATCTCTTCTTTTGTCACATCGCTGGCCATTCCCCTTATGCTCCTAGCTTCCAGCGATCCCTCTTCTTCTATGGCCTGTCAAAGTTTGCCCAGTGCGTGATGGTCTTTGTCCATGGTTAGCAGCAGACTACCGTCCTTCGTGCTCCTGATGTCTCTGATAGCGTTTGCCGTCTCAGAGCCTCCCACCGCATTCTTGACCTCTCCTAGTATGTCTTTGTAGAACTTACCTCCCCTGTTTATTATCACTCCATACGTGTTCCTTCCTTTCGGACTATTCTTCTGCTGGAGTGTGGTGTGGATTTCCACGTTGGTTTTGCCCGTGTGGAATATGACCTCCGTCATTCTACGGAGCTCCTCGACGCTTGCCCCCTTGACGTGGTGGATGGACACCCGCTCGTCGTTGATAGTCTCCTGCCTAAGTTCGCTTAGTTTCCCCCAGAGCCCCCTTGATGTTTCGTCGTATGCCATTTTGACTATTTTCTTTCTGTGGGTGTCCCCTGTTCCTCTGATTCGTGTTATCTGTTCAATCACTTCGAAATCCCCTTCCAGTGATGGTAGTTCGGGGAACTTTTCTTTATACATTCTTTGTATGCTGTCCTTCATCCCTGGATCACTTGGTTCCACTATAACCACCTTAACAACACAATCTTCTGAGTTGAGGGGGTTGCCCGTTATTATTTTCGTATTGGTGTACACTGTTTCTTCCCAACGAAGCATCGCCACTTCTGCGAAATCCCCAAATTCCAGGGACGCTTTCAGGTCCTCAGGGGTGCTCAACCTAGAGGCAAGACATGTGCAAGTGCACGTGCATGTGTCCTTGGTTGCTCTTCTACGTCCGTTCGGGGCTTCATCCTCGGCTGATTCTCGTGTTGTTTCGCTCTCCTCTCCCTCCGCGTGCGTGATAGCCCCCTGATTTGTTAATGAGGGCTGTCGGATCCTTTGGCCTTTTCCATTCAGAGGACTTGTCTGCGTGTCCGCATCGCGGCTTACTTTATGCAGCACCTCCGCTTTTTTGGCATTTTCTGTCTCTGAGGCTTTTCTCCCCTCTACGGTACTGTGAAAGGAAAGTTCTGAGTCGCTGAGAAATTTTGACCTTTCTTGGAGCTTCTGTGCTGATCGCTCAAGTTCTCTCGAGATTACTTTAATCTCTACTTTCGTATTGATATTGCTCTTGGTGAGTTTCAACAGCTCAGAGGTTTTGTTAACTAATTCTTCCACCATCGCTAGAAGTGCTATTGTATCTTTATCTTTTTCCTTGCTTTTCTCTTTCTTATTCTTCATGGGTGTCGTTTTCCGCTTTCTTTTCTTAGGTCTGCACTCAACCCACTCCTCGTCCATTACTACCTCCTCTTCTATAGTGTCCTCGTCTGCTTATTCATAACTAAGGCTCTTGCCTAGTTCCTCATCCATGTACCCCTCGGGTGTTTGCTCTCCTGTGCTTCTTCCTGGGGTCATGTATTCCGAATTGTCGGTTGGAGCTGAGTCAATTCTGTCTCTTGTTGATTGTCCTCCTATAGGACCTTGACCCTTTTCCAGGTCCGTTCTAGTCTTCGTTGGTGTTCTCTGCAGCGATTGTCTTCTTTTGGTAGGGTCTTTCACATTCTCCCATTCATATTTTGAAATTTCCTTCTCTTCGCTCATTTTTGTCCCACTAGTGGCTGGCAATATTTCTTCCGCCGACACGGTTCCACTTTTACTCGCTCTTGCTCCCTCTTCTGCTTCGTCTTCCAGAAGCAGTGTTTATATATTTTTTTGTTTTGTTTTTATGTTTGTGATATCTTTGTCAAGTTGCTTGCTCATACTTATTCCCATGAGTTGGGTCGGTGCAAGAGTCCGGCAGGGCATTGCGCCCTTACCCTGCTAAGGCTGCTCTACTCCGGGAGGTCGCCTGACTCCCAGAGGCTCCGTTCGTGACCAACTATCGCATGGCCATTCATCCATCGGCACGGGTCGCGTTACACCTTGGGTTTCAGATTTTTTCCCAGGTTTTCTCCTGTTGAGCTGTTCTCAGCTTAACCGCTCTCCCTCGACCTTGCCGGCATGGGAGGCCCTACCAGGAGCTCACGCTCCCGCCGGCATCGCTCTCAGGTTCATTGCGGCTACTGAGCCCCCTCACCACGTCAAGGTCAACCAGCTCTTTGAGGGGGCCCCAACCTAACCTAACCTAACCTAACCTAACCTAACCTAACCTTTTTTTTTTTTTTTGAGGAGGGGAAATCTTCAGTAAGACACCCCGTCTGTTGGCCTGTTGACGGGGTAGTGTGGGATTTTTACCCACTAAAACCCCTCCTCTTACTTTTTGCACTACTCCTTCGGAACCGCCTTTCGGCATTACTTCGAAGAAAGCATGCATCGCTTATTCTTGACTGTCTTCCTCTCTTTGTTCTCTTCTTTCATCCTCCTGTCTCTTCCTTATGATTTTCTGTATATATTCACTGATACTGTCCCATCTCGTTTCGTTTTCTACCATGTTCTCTATGATGTTGTCCGGTGTAATGGTCCGTCCTTCCTCCACTCTTTGTCTGTCCTCCGCCCATTCAGGACAGTGGAACACAGCATGTTCCGCTGTGTCTGGCTCTTCTCCGCAGTATCTGCATTGGTCTGTCAGTGACTTTCCTATTGCGCAAAGGTAGCCGTTGAAGCACCCGGGTCCTGTAAGGAATTGGGTTAGTGCGTAGTTCACTTCGCCGTGCTTCCTTTCCATCCAGCGCTCGATGTTGGGGATGAGTCTCCTCGTCCAGCTTCCTTTTCCTGGTCCGCTCCATTCCTCTTGCCAACTATCCATGGTTCTTCTTCTTTCTTCCTTTTGTCTCCTGTTTCTGCTCTCCTCCCCAACGTCATAAGTTGCTGTTCTTTCTTCCACAAGATATTCGATCGGGATTGTTGCAGCGATGACCAACATTGCCTCCGTTGATACGGTTCTGTATGCACTACAGATTCTGCCTGCAGCCCTCCTCTGTACTCTTTTGAGTTTCTCTTTATATTTTTCCACTTTCATGACTTTTCCCCAAACGGGGGCTGCATACAACATCTTGGAGTTCACTACTGAGCATAGTATTTTTCTTTTGCTAGCACTGGGCCCTCCGATATTTGGGAGCAGTCTTGCAAGGGCTGCAGCTGCTTTCTCAGCTTCTTTGGCTACCTCCTCCACGTGCTTAGTAAACGTCAGGCCCCTATCTAACGTCACCCCTAAGTATTTTACACTGTTTTCCGGCGTTATCTCAGTTCCTTCCAGGTTGAAGATTATTGGGCCAATTTTCCTTCTTCCAATCAGCAGTATTGCTTCTGTCTTTTGCGGTGCTGATTCTAAACGGTGTTCCCTCATCCATTGGCTGACTCTCCTCAAGGTATCATTTGCAGTTCCCATCAGTCCTTGCTCCGTTTTTGCGCTGACGACAATTGCCAGGTCGTCGGCGAAGGCGAATGTCTTTGCTCCTCTTGCCAGTGGTGTCCTGAGTACCCCATCGTAGAGGAGGTTCCATAGCGTTGGTCCAAGTACTGACCCTTGTGGGACTCCTCTGCTGACCGCCATTTCTTCTACTCTGTCTTCATCGTCCCTAATCAGAATGCATCTGTTTTTCAGGTAGCTTCCTACTATTCTTAGTAGGTATGGAGCTACGCCCTTTCCTTCTAGCTCTTGCATGATTAGCCTCCAAGAGGCCATGTTGAATGCATTTTTTACATCTACTGTAATGAGCGCACATAGTCTCCTGGTCCTTACTGTGCCACGTCGTGCTTCCTCAGCCGTTGCTATGACTGCTTGGATTGCTCCTATCGTGGATCTATGTCTTCTGAATCCGTACTGATTTTCGCTGAGTCCCCCGGCTCTTTCAATTTCCATACTGAGTCTTTCCAAGATCATAGCTTCCAGTAGCTTCCCCATCGTGTCCAGTAGACACAGTGGTCTGTATTTGGCGATCTCTTCTGCTGGATTCTTTCTCAGTAGTACCAGTCTTGCCCTTTTCCATATGTCGGGAAATTCTCCAGTTATTAGTACCTGGATCATTATCTTTAATGTGACCTCCGGCCTCTCCTTCACCAAGGCTCTCACAACCTCTGGCGGTATCCCGTCCGGCCCTGGGGCTTTTCTCTCTTTGATCCGCTCTCCTGCTTTCTGTAATTCTTCCCAGGAGAATGGGGGTGGTGGGTCTGCTTCCTCGTGTACTCTCCACTGTGTTATTTCTTCTGTGGGAAATAGTGTTGCCGCGACTTCTCTTGCTTTCTCCATGCTCATTGTGTCCATGGCCGTTATTCCAAGTCTTTTGCAGGCGATCTTATAGCCTTGCCCCCACACGTCGTTGTCTATGTCCTTGCACAGGTCTTCCCAGTGTTTTTTTTTCGAGTTGGATATAGCCTTCTTTAGCATATTCTTGGCGTCTCTGTAGGCACTTTCTGCTTCGTCTGTCCTTTCCCTAGTTTGTACTCTTCTTCTCCTTATACATTCCCTCCTGCTTTCCGCTATTTCCTCGTTCCACCAATACGCCTGTTTCCTATTAGGCATTGTCCTCATAGGCATGCTGTGGTTGCAGGCTCTTTGGAGCACGTTGACTATTTCCTCGGCCGATTCTGGTTTGTTCCGATCTATTTCGTGTCTTAGTGACTCGTTCAGTTTTGTTTTGCTAAGTTTTTCCACGTTCCACCCTTCTGGTTTCTTCGCGGTTTTATTAATTGTTTTGTCCCCGAGTGTGTACACTATGTATTTATGGCCGCTGTGCGTTTCTGCTTCGTCCACTTGCCATTCCTGTACTCTTCGTGCCATTGTTTGGTTTGCCATTGTTATATCCGGCCTTGATTGTCTTATTCCTCTCTGAAAGGTTGGCACTTCTCCTTCGTTCATGAATGTCAGTCCACACTCTGTTGCCCATTCAATTAGGATTTCCCCTCTTCTGTTATTAGCTCGTGACCCCCAGACCGTAGAGCTCGCGTTCAAGTCTCCCGCAACCAGTATGGCCCCTGAGTTCCTCTTGACGTCGTCTCCAATGTATCTGAGCGTATCTTCGAATTCTCTTATTCCGCAGTTTGGTGAGATATAGCAGCTATAGATTCTGCCTACTTTAGTTTGAATGGCTACATATCCATCCCCCCTTTCTATTCTTCCGCTCGTGGCTCTTCTATTCATCACTCCAATTGCGGCATCTCTCCTCTGGTCCATTGCCCATCCCGCCTTTTCGGCCAGTCTCACATTGGGCTCACTCACCAGTATCAGGTCGACCCCCCTACTTATCGCAGTAGCGAATAGCAGGTCATGGGCCACTCGGGTGCGATCTATGTTTATTTGTATGACCTTATACATCGTGTCCTCTGGATCCGTTTTTTGCTTTTCCTCATCCCCAGGTCGGATTGTTCTTTTTTGAGGGCGAGGGGAGTGTGGTGGGTGATGTTTTTCCCCTCTGTTTATTAGTTGTCAATCCTTCGGCCCAGAGCCCTCGGGCTCCCGCCATTGTTCTCGATCTGTCTCTTCTGCATCTTCGTCCTCCTTCCTCATAGGTTTTCTATCGCTGGTTGGCTCCCCCGTGCTCCATGTATGTCCCTTGGCCCTAGACAGAGCCCTTCGAAATATTGGGCATCTTCCGCTTCCAAACTTGTGATCTGCCTCCTTTCCATCTGCCTCGCACATTGGGCAGTTCTCCTCGTTTTTGCAGTCCCTTGAGGAGTGGTCTGCCTTTCCGCAATTGAAGCAGTGTCTGGTTCTATCCGGTCCGCTACATTCTGTTGCTAAGTGGTCGAGTCCCCAGCACCTCCTACACTTTTTGATGTCGACTTTTCTTGTTATGTCGCATTTGCCTATGCCGATCCTAATCTTTCCCGCTGCAAGCAGTTTTTCCGCGTTCACCTTATTTGTCGTCACAGTTATGGCCTGTGTGTTCCTCGCATTCGGGCGGAGTTCACTGAGTGCATATTTGCTCATCTGGTCTTCGCTTAGGTGTTTCTCGATGGCCTCTGCTACTTCATGTTTTTTGACTTCTGCATCCATGCCCCTGATATGCAGGATCTCTTGGAATGTTTCCCCCATTTTCCTGATTTTTGTGCTCCCTGTGACTTCCCTGATTAGTCCTTCCAATTGGTCGAGTTTGCGCTGGTCTTTGTCTACTGTGATCAATAATTTCCCTTCTCTGGTGCTTTTTATGCTCTTGACCGCGCTGCAGGCCTCGTTGCCTTGGATCGAGTCTTTGACTGTCCGCAGCGTATTCTTGTAGTTGTCTGCGTCAGTGTTGACTACTAGTGCATAAGTACTTCTTTCCATTGGCGTTTTTGGGTTGTGGTCAGGCTTCGGCTCCTGGTCGGTGTAGATGACTACTTTGGTGTTTGTATCATGGAATATACATTCCACCATCTTCCTGAATATGTCCAGCTTAATATGATTGACTTTGTGTAGTGCAACCCAATCAGTGCCAGTCGTCTCGGCTTTAAGGCTCACTAGCTTATTCCACGTATCGTCCTCCGTTCCATCGTGGGTGATTTTGACGATCTTCCTTCTAGAAAGGACGTATCCATCTTTAGAGCGCATTTTAGTCGATTGCTCCATTATGTCAAAGTCCTCCGTTACAGAGAGTAGTTCTGGATACCGTTCCCTATACAGCCTTTGAATGCCTAGGTTCATATCTAGCTGTTGCTTGTTCACTAGTACGACTTTGACCACTTCATCCTTGGTCTGTATCGGGTTCCCCTTCTTGGTTTCCGTGTTTGCCCATAGTCGTTCGTCCCAGTTCTTGTGTGCAATTGTTCGCCATTTCTCTAGGGAGTTCATGCCCTTCAATGTGGTCACAGGTTTTTCGGCTGCTCTTTTTCCCATCGTTGCTCGCGAGATTTTCTCTTCCCTTTCTGTTATTAGTTTGTCCATGTCCTTTAGCCTCTTCTCCATTTCTTCCAGAGCTATCTCCTTTTCTCGTAGCTTTTCCTCGGTTTCCTTCAGGGTTTCCTCCCTTTCTTTCAGTCTTTTTTCTGTTCTTTCAATTGCTATGCGTCTGTCCCTGCATTCCCTTTGTTCTATCTCGAGCGCCCTTGTTTCATTCGCTGTTTCCACATTGGTACTCGGCGTACTGGTTTCTGCCGTTTGAGTATCCACCTCGTATGTTGGTACTGCTACTTTTTCCCATTTATGCTCTTCCAGCCATTCCTTACTTGTCTTCCTCTCTCTCTCTCTCCTTCCTAACCTAACCTAACCTAACCTAACCTAACCCAACCTAACCCTACCTAACCTAACCTAACCTAACCTAACCAAACCTAACCTAACCTAACCTAACCTAACCTAACCTAACCTAACCTAACCTAACCTAACCTAACCTTTTTTTTGGGAGAAAATCCATCATGGACAAAGGTCGCTTTTGTTCTTTTATCGCAGACCAAAAGTGTCGAACTCCTACCGACTAAGACCTCCCTTTACAGCCCTTGATAGTACGGCATCGTTATTTCTAACATACCTCGTAGATATCAGGTGGTCTGTTACTTCAGTTTTCTCCTCTTTGCTCTTCCCTTTCATCGCTCTCCTTCTTGCTTGAGATTGCTCTGGCCAACCCTCTAATTGCTCCCCAGTTCTTCTTGTTCTCTATCATGATCCTGCCTAGCGTGTCTTCTGTCGGGGTTTCTCCTATTTCTGCGTGGGTCCTCTGGCGCTGTACTCCCCACCTTCCGCAATAGAACATCGTATGTGCTGGGGTGTCCCTGTCTCCGCAATATACGCATATCTCGGTTCCACTTTTGCCGATGCGATTATTGTATGTTTTGAAACATACATGCCCTGTTAGAATTTGCGTGAGGTAGTAGTCCAGGTTTTTGTGTTTGCACCTGTAGTACTCCACAACATCAGGTATTGATCTCTTCGTCCATTGTCCAGTGTCTGTGTTTGTTTGCCACTCCTGTTGCCATGTTCCCAGAGAAGTTTCCCGCTCAGCTGCCCTGGCTGTCCTGCCATCTTCCCTTTCGTGCAATCTGGCACAGTGCCAGTGATGACTTGTATTGCCCCGAGAGATACTGTTCTATACGCGCTAGCGACTCTCAGGGTTACTCTTCTCTGGGTCTTTTCGAGCATCTGCCTGAATCTCCTAACATTTAGCGACTCTGTCCATACTGGAGCACCGTATAGCATGATTGAATGGACCACTCCGCTTAGTAGTTGCCGTTTGCTGCTGCTGAGGCCACCTATATTCCTCATTAATCTTGACAGCGTCCCTACCCTTTCTTCAGCCTCCGTTGTGGCATACTCTATATGCCTGCCGAAACTGCCGACGTCATCTAGTATGATGCCTTGATATCGCAGGCTCCTCTGGGGTTTGATCTCTGTCCCTGCTAGATGGAAACGGGGTTGTTCCCCTTTCTATCTTTCTCCATGGCCCACGCAGAATAACAGCATCCGTTTTTTCAGGAGCCAGTTCCAGCTGGTTGCGAGTGATCCAATTCGAGATGCTCCTGAGCGACTCGTCGGCTCTGTAATCGAGTTGTCTCACGTCTTTCCCCGTGGCTATTAAAGCTAGGTCGTCCGCAAAACCAATGGACCTGGTACCGTCCGTTAGGTGTTCCCTCAGGATACCGTCGTAGAACAGGTTCCATAGTAAGGGGCCTAGTACAGACCCCTGTGGGACTCCTGCTGTTACCTCCAGTTCCCTGCTGCCAACCATGATTCTTCTGTCGCTCAGGTAGCTCCTCATCATGTTTCGCAGATAGGCTGATATCTGCCTTCTCGACAGCTCTGCTTCTATCAGTTCCCAAGACGCTGTGTTGAATGCGTTTTTTATATCAATGGTGATCAGAGCTAGCTACTTTTCTCGGCAGTTTCTCACCGTTCGCGTCACCTCTTGCACTGCTTGCACGGTCGGGTACCCTTTCCGGAACCCGTATTGGTTCCGTGAGAGACCGCCGTTTTCCTCCATTTCCCGCTCGAGTCTGTTTTTAAGTAGACATTCGAAGATTTTGCTGATCGCGCTCAGCAGGCAGATGGGTCTGTGAGACGACGGTGTTCCTAGAGGCTTACCTGGCTTTGGAACCAGTACCAACTTCGCTACCTTCCAGATTTTTAGAAACTTTTGTTCCCGCAGCAAAGTGTTGTAGGTGTCTAAGAGAAAGCCTGGGGAAATTCCCGCAACTTCTTTGATGGCTCCTGTCGGCACCCCATCAGGCCCTGGTGCATTCCCCTAACCTTACCTAACCTAACCTAACCTAACCTTTTTTTTGTGGGGTGTAAATCCTCATGGGCACTGACCGCTTGGAATTCATCACGAATCAAATGTGTCAGACTTCTACTGACTGAAATAACCCCTCGCCCTCTCTTGTACTCGGAACCGTATCAGCAACATAGCATCAAGCACAAGCGGCGTACTATTTTTGATCACCGTCGCATTTGCCTTATCCTGACTCACTCCCTTGGTGGGCACAGACACTGACATTGAAGAACATGACACTCCTTGTATGTCCACAGTAAAGAAAAATGACTAGATAATTGAACATAAACACTTTGTATATTCACAAATAAAACTTTGGTTCACGTCGCTACACACAGAAATATCACAGTTTTCATCATCACATTTGCTGATAGATAATATAAGTAACACATCTACACTTACACAACCCTTTTTCTTTCTTTCCTCTGGTGCTCCCTTTCTTCAATCTCCTTCTGACTGAGCACCTTTTTCATGGAGGTGACGGCGGTTTTTTATGCTTCCTTGGAACTTAACATTGATTCAATCATCGTTTCAGGTGAAGCCACCATACCCGTACTCTTTCGGATCTTTTTAGTGAAACTTCTGAATGAGCCATGTCCAGTGAGGAATTGAGTGGTGAAATAATTCACCTGCCTATGCTTACAAGCCATCCAGGGCTCTAGTATATGGGATAAGCCTTTCCATCCATTGAGCCTTCAGTACGTTGTTATCCCACCTGTCCTGCCACTCAGATATGGTGTTCCGCCTCTCGATAACTTCATGTGCGTTTCCTACGTCTCGTTTCTCGTCCAGCCGGCTTCTTTCTCCGACTAATAGGTCCATAGGGAAGACCCCAGCGGTTACGCATACAGCTTCGGCTGGCACTTTTCTGTACGCGGAGGTGGTTCTTAGTAGCATCCTCCTCTGCGAGGCATTTACCATCCTCCGGTACTTTTCTACATCCATGACCCTCTTCCAGACTGGTGCAGCATACAATTTAACTGATTGCACCACCCTGTAGAGCATGCGTCTTTTACATGTTGTGGGGCCCCTTATATTGGGCAGGCTCCTTGACAGGGCTGCTATCTGCCTGTCAGCCTTTTCGCAAGTCCTGCGTATATGTTCGTTGAATATTATCTTGTCATCCAACCACACGCCAAGATATTAAACGAATTTTTTCGGCACAATTCTTGTACCTTCCAGCTCAAACTCAACGTCTTTTCTCTTCCTGGGGCCCTTGACTATTATTGTCTCTGTTTTCGGTGTTGCTATTTCTAGCCTACCTGTTCTATCCACTCCGCTATGCCAGCCAGGGCATTGTTCGTATTTTAAAAAAGCTCGTTCTTTGTTCCCGCACTCACTACTAGGGCCAGGTCTTTTGCATAAGCATCCGTGGTGCACCCTTTGGGTCTGTCCAGTCTAAGGACCCCATCATATAGGACGTTCCACAGAGTGGGCCCCAGAATAGAGCCCTGCGGGACGCCCTGCGTCATTTCGAAATCCTTGCCGCCTCCTATCAGTATTCTATCGTTCAGGTAGCTTGCCAGGATCTTGCGCAAGTATTCACTGATCTCCATTCTTCTGAGCCTTTCTGCTATCTTGTCCCACTTCGCGGTGTTGAACGCATTTTTTACATCTGGATACCTCTATAGCAAATTAGTTCGCAACGATCATGAGAGACGACATCGAAGCAGATATAACGCACACAACAGGCAGAACAAGAAACTTCGACTGTGACTATGTTTACACTGTAACTTCGCATCCAAGCATCTGACATGCCCACAGCAATAGCAGATACGATCACACTGACCATATGAGACGACTTCGAAGGATATTTAACGAGAACTTACTTACATACATACAAACATACATTTTTATTTATTATCTCAGATGATGACAATTTTATAATAATTATTTCATCCACTACTTTGGTCAAAGAAGCTGCACCTAAGCACTGGTTAGTGCTTGTTTTGTGCTATTCTTCTTTGTCATCCGAGCATCTAAATCTACAAATTCTTGATAATATATAGCACAGTGTTCAGCAGACATGAATATTGATTATTATTAACGACTGATATTGTTGATGCTGAGAAGAGGTTGTTAAGCACATAATTATTGTGGTGGGTGAGTGATTTCAATGTTTTTTTTCTCATTAATCTATAACAATGTAATTATTTCATCATCAGAGGCTATGAACTTTTCCAAAATCACTTTAAATTTTCCAAGTATTGGTATCTCCTTCATATAAACTGGTAGTAAATCATGAAATTTTGGACCGAAATAGAAAATTGTTCTTTGTGTGTGCGTTTTTTTGTAAAGAGGCAAATTGACACCTGAATTTTCATTTAAACGGGTTTGTTTTTTTTTCTCAATGTAATATTTCTAATTTTTTGTGTTCATCCAAATTAGAGTATGATAGATATGAATATTTTTGATGTTAAATAATTCTGTTTCCTTATAAAGTTGATCTGATGAAAATAATTAATTTTTCTCGAAGATTATTTTCGAAATTGTGTTCTGCATTGATTGAATACTACTGAGAATATCATTGAACATCCCTTCCTATACCGATATGCAGTATTTAATCACTGATTCCGCTAGGGCATGATAGACAATCATCAAAACGGGTATAACGCAAACAACAGGCAGAACAAAAAACTTCGACTTCGACTATGTTTACACTGTAACTTTGCTTCCTAGCATCTGACATGCCTACAACTATAGTAGATACGATCGCACTGACCATATAGGACGACTCCGAAGGACATATAACAAGAACAATAGACAAGTGAAGATACAAGGACAACATCAGTCTGCACACTGTTTCTCTGTATTCTATCATCTCACATGGATACCTCTGGAGCATATCAGTTCGCAACGATCATATGAGACGACATCAAAACGGGTATAACGCACACAATAGGCAGAATAAGAAACTTCGACTTCGACTATGTTTACACTGTAACTTTGCATCCTAGCATCTGACATGCCCACAACTATAGCAGATATTTACGA